GGCACATGACGGACATCCTTCAATATCATTGTACTCCCGATATTTGTTTGTATTTTGATATCATCAATTCCAACTATCTCACTGGAAGAAGTGTTCCCCATCTTCACTACTCCAAAGTCTCCTGCTTTGTATGTTGTAAAGAAATCTTTTCGGGATGTGGCGTGGTATGATGTTGCAGTATCTACCACCCATTCGTTTTCTTCTTGACTTGAGACGTGAAGGCATGTCTCTTCTTGGATGGAACAAATGGCTACCTCTCCGTGGGTAGTGACTAATGCATCTCCATCCTTTTGCTTCAACTGCTCCTTCTCCTTATGCAATTTTCTGCAGTTCTTCTTTAAATGGCCCTTTATTCCACGGTGGTAGCACGCATATGATGACTTCCTACCATATGTGGATTTTCCCCTACTCTTGCTTCTGCCTCTCCTCTTATCTTGACTTCTTTCTTGTTGTCTCCCTCTTTCTGTAATAAGGGCATGCGACTCACCATGATCGATGTCCTTTCTTCTGGCTTCTTCATTAAATAAGGCATCTTTAACCATAGACATGGTCAGATTTCCACTAGGAGATGAATTACTGAGAGAGACTACCAGCGTCTCCCAGCTATCAGGAAGAGAACTAAGGAGTAATAGGGCTTGCATCTCATCCCCGAGCAGCATGTCAACAGACGATAATTGATTTATCAAGCTCTGAAACTCACTGGTATGCTCGGCAACTGAAGTTCTGTGCTTTAACTTCAAATTTACCAAATGTCTCATCAACAAGGCTTTGTTCCTAGCGGTCTTGGATTGATACATCCCTTCTAACTTCACCCAGAGGGCATACGCATCTGTCTCTTGTGCAACATGATGAAAAACGCTATCGTCAATCCATTGTCGAATTTGACCGATAGTTTTTCTGTTTAATTTCTTCCACTCTGCTTCTTTGGTGGAATCAGGGTTCCTACCCTTTGCTTCTATGGGATCAAACAAATCTTTACAACTGAGGAGATCTTCCATCCGAGGTCTCCACAATGTGTAATTTGTGGCAGTAAGCTTTATCATAGCTCCACATGATGATGACTCTTCCATTATGTCTTTAAAATGGTTTGGTCAAAATTTTGGAGCAGAATCTCACCAAACGGAACTCACCAACACGTCCGGAATGGTGAAAAATGGTAGGATTGACTCTTCTTGGGTCAAAATAGGGCCTCCAAAAAAATTTCAAAATTTACACCAAACGTTTGGGGTTAAATCGAAAATATACTTAACTTGTGGGGCAGATTTATAATTTTAGTAACTTCAGGGGTTATTTCATAAATTTCTAAAAATTCTGATGACTGGGCGCTGACTAGATGCTGACTGGATGCTGACGTGGCGCTGACTAGATGCTAACTGGATGATGACGTGGCGCTGACTGGGCAGTTACTATTCATCATCTTCTTCCTTGGGCAGAAGAAAAAAAATTGCCATAACTTCTTCGTTTTAGCTTTGTTTGGCCTCCGGAAAATTGCGTTGAATTCGTATCGACGCAAGGACTCTAATGAAATGATCAAAACACACCGAAGATCACGTTTTCGAAAAACGTAAATTCGGGTTGAAATTTTCAGTGTTCCGATATTTCTCGATGAACACAGAATCGAGGGCTCTATACCACTTGTTGTGATTCTCGGATCAATATGAAGATTATTTGGGAGGAAAAACAACTTTATTTCACAAGAATAGAATTACAGAGAATTTACACCAAGAATTTCTCTCTACAAAAAAAACCTCACCAAACTCTCTTTTTGTTTTCACAATCTCTTCCTGGATTGTATTTCAATCTCTCTGGATTGATTTTTCTGGGTAAAACATAAGGCTCTATTTATATCCTTAAATAAGGTGGTTGGTGGTTGAATTCTTCATTCAACAATGGAGGCTTCAACAATGGTGGCTTCTAGAATGGGTTGGTGGCTTCAACAATGGTGGGCTTCTAGAATTGGTAGTTGGCAGCAGCTGAACTTATCAGTTGTATATATGTCTCAACCTCCTGGTTTTATAGATCCCTCCCGTCCAGATCATGTGTGTCTTCTCAAGCGATCTCTTTATGGTCTCAAACAAGATCATCGGATGTGGAACAAGCGATTCACTGATGCTCTCACTTCGCTAGGATTCTTGGGATCTAAGACGGATAGTTCTTTGTTCTATATGTCTACTCCTAGTGACAAGCTTTTCTGTCTAATATATGTGGATGATATTTTGGTGCTTGGTAATAACCCTGCTCGTATTAAGTCATTAGTTGCACAACTCCAGTCTCAATTTGCAGTACGTGATTTGGGGACTCTGTCCTATTTTTTAGGTATAACAGCATCTTGGACAAGTGAAGGATTATTTTTATCTCAAAAGAAATATGTTGAGGAGCTCCTTCGACGTGTTCAGATGGAGTTGTGCAGTCCTGTTAACACTCCTATTTCCCCAACCTCCAAACTTTCATCATCTGGTGGTGTTCCATTCAATGATCCGACGTTGTATCGCAGCATAGTTGGTGCGATGCAGTACTTGACCTTCACGCGTCCGGATGTGGCAGATGCAGTGAACAAGGTTTCTCAATTCATGCATTGTCCTACGGATATTCATTGGATGGAAATTAAACGTATCTTGCGATATATCAAAGGTTCATTAGCTCATGGTCTGTTCTTTTCACGAAGTTCTACAACATTGCTTCATGGCTATACAGATTCCGATTGGGGGGAGATATAGATGATAGGAAGTCCACCACTGGTTTTGCCATTTACCTGGGCAATCATTTGATATCATGGTCATCAAGAAAGCAAAGAGCTGTATCCCGATCAAGCACTGAGGCTGAGTATAGAGCAATAGCTGCTACAACTTCAGAAATCACTTGGGTGGAGTTTCTGCTCCGAGAAATTGGATGTTTTATCTCTTCTAATTTGAGTGCTACATACTTAACAGCCAATCCCATTTTCCATTCTCGTACAAAACACATGGAAATTCATTTCCATTTTGTTCGAGACAAGGTTCGTGCTAAGACGCTTTTAGTTCGGTATGTCAGCTCTCTTGATCAAGTTGCCGATCTATTAACGAAACCATTGTCGAAGTCACGCTTTCTTGAGTTAAAAATCTAAGTTGATAGTAGTCCAGACCCCTGCTCAACTTGAGGGGGAATGAAGAAGGATAATGTTAAACAGTTGTAGTATATTATCAATTGGTTTTGTCCACTTGTGTCCTAGTTTGCATAGGATTGTTATCCTCTGTATATGACTTATTTTAGGGCTCTTACATAATTTGTATGTATAAATATGGCAGAGTATTTTCAATACAATTATCAGAAAGACTTTCAGCAACTAGTAGGGCTCCTTTCTCGCTGCGACCTTTCTTCAGTTGGTTCACGTTCGTTTTGTAATAGAGATGTGTCCTTTTGAGGTTCTCTAGAATTTGTCAGTTGTTCTTTAAACTCAAGGATTGTTTGATCCAATTGCTTCATATGTGAAACTTCACCAGACAAAGCTCCAATAACTGCTATCAATTTCTGCATTAGTTCACGCAAATCAACCGGATCTTCAATTGAATTATCACTTGATCGAGTACCCTTGCCATGACTTCCGAGGATTATTGGCTCTGATACCAACAATACACTATTATAGGAATTCAAGATGAACTCGAGGATAGTAAAGCTGATTCAGGAAGAAGCTTTGAGAGGTCAGCTAGAAATGAAAATCATAGAAGAGAAAAGAAGAGAAGAGAGAAGATTTAGGATAGAAGTGCATATTTCATTGATAATTTTGAATATGTATTACAGATGTATTTATATTAATTACATTGTATCATGGTTTCAATCCTACTTCTACTGACAGATTCTCTCATTAACAAAAACGGCTTTTTGGACTGCTAACTAATTGTTCGATAACTTGTATCACTGAAAAGTTACTTCAAAATTTGAAAAATCAATTGATGCTATGTGGTTAAAGGACTGATGTAGTTTTCCTCTGCTGGAAGCTCTACCAATCGATGATGGCTGTTTCTTCTTGACAATTGTTTGATCATTTAGTTTTAGGTTGCATGTAAAATTTTGTAGACTTTTTTGCACCTTTCTTTGACCCATACCTAATAAAGGTTCGTTTCGTGGCAATGAAAGCATGTTTTCCAAAGATCTGGGTTAACTTGATCATTTTTTTCTTTAAAAAAGAAACATGAAATTCTTTGGTGCAATGTTCACTCTATGAGAAATACTAACGTTGACCCTATTGAAAGGGTCCTAAGCAAAGCTCTCTTCTGCCTTAACTGAAGGGTTGACACTATAGCTCTTTCTATCCTTTTCAGGTATGATTCTTGTTCATTTCACGTTTTTGACTCACTACAAGTGTTCCCTGTTATGAACCCCACTTTATTGAACAAAAATTAAATAGAATATTCTAGATGCTAAAAATGATATAATGTAGGGCTATTTCAAGAAGGAATTGCAGACATATTAGCGGGAGATGATGAAAGACAAGAGGACAATGAAATAGAACAAGAAAACAAAGAAAAATTTAGAATCTCGATCGCATTCCTTTCCCCCACAGCCGCCTTGAGTTATTTATACACCTAAATCTTCAACTAACTACTCTTGTTACAACAACAACGACCTAGTAAAATCTCACAAAATGGGTTCTGGGGAGGGTAATGTGCACGCAAATCTTACTCCTACCCCGATGGGGCAAAGAGACTGTTTCTGATAGACCCTCGGCTCAGGAAGACGGAAAAAAAAACAAGAAGAGACAATATATTAGTATCGTCAACAGAAACCATAGAAATAGTAACATCATCATAAAAAACATAAAATAAAGGGGTTTTTATACAGTTACCCACAAAAACAAAACTATTTACCCTTGTCTATCCATTTGTTTTTCTACCCATAAACTAATTACATTTCCTACCCATAGTAGTTTTTGTGGGGAAGTTTTTCTTTATTCTCCAATTATTTTTTATTTCTATGCTTCTTTTCTCTTCTTTTTTTCTTTTTTTCTTCTTTTCTCCTTTTCTTTTTTCTCATTTTCTTCTTATTTTTTTCTTTTTTTCTTTTCTAATTTCATTTAACTTCTTTTTTTATATTCTTTTTCTCTTTATAGTCTAATTTCATTTACTGTTTTCACTATTTTTTATTATTCTTTTTTTATACTATTACTAAAGAAAAATTAAATTGTATACCAATTAAATGTAGCTAATATTAACTAACATATGATACCAGTATAGTATATACTATATAGATATACCAATAGGGTATACAATTGTACGTAAAGAGTTAAAAAAAATTTAATTCAATTATTAAACTGAAATAATATCAGTTGTTAATAAAAATTTCAAAAAATTCTAAAAGGATCTAATTGTAAGAGTATACCGTTACATTATATAGCATACTATAATATTTTATTTTGCATTTTCATTGTCTCTCACGCTGGTAAAAGCTTAAAGCAAATTAAAAGGAAAAAAACAAGTGAATTTACGGGTAATAAGTATACTATTATAGTATATTGTATACTATTACAACATACTGTTACAGTATATTTCATATTATTATAGTATACTATAACAATATATTGTATACTATAATAGTATATTGTTGCAGTATAACTATATACTCCTATAGTATATTATATATTATAGCGGTATATTGTTAGATAACTGTGTTCTTCTTCGATTATTACAATATACCGTTGTAGTATATTGTAAACTATAATAGTATATTGTTGCAGTATAGCTATATACTCCTACAACATATTATATACTGTAGCAGTATACTATTGGGTAGTTGTATTCTTCTTCGATTTTCAGCTGAAAATTTGGATCTCAATCACCTCAAATCAGCTTCAAATGCTATCAAATTTCAGTATGAACTCCCAGAAGTATTAGTCCTCAACTCAAATGCAAAGTTTATTACTCCCTCATATTATTGATCAATCATTATAGTAACTAAAAATCATTTGATCAATCACCCAAAAAAAGATTCAACAACATTAGCAAAAACCAGAATGTCCCTCGATTCAACTCGTAGGGACCCACAATTTTGCAGGTTCTATTAGCAAAATCGAAAATGTTCGAGTTAATTATATCAATAATTACCACACAAAATCTTTTCGATGCAGAGGTCCGGAGTAACTTAACAATGCGTATGAGAAGTAACAAGAAAAACCAACCTGAAGGCCCTGATCGAATTAAGGTTTTGATTGGCGTGGGAAAACACCTAAAATGTAGTTTCCTATTTCCTCTGTCTTCAGCAAGCAAAGGGGAATTAGCAAGTCAACGGTGTTTGAGCTGTAAAAAATTATACTTTGTCAGAGATTAGCGAGGATAACGAGGGAATAACCGGGTAAATAGTTTGGGTCTCACAGGTAGAGTAGTAAATAGTTTGGGTCTGGGCATTAAAGAATAAATAGTTTAGAATTAATAGATATAAAGTGAGATTATCTTTAAAATAAATAACATGCAATAACAATAACCAGTAATTAAGGTTCAGAGCTATGAAAAATAGAAAAGATAGTGTGGACACAACATTAGTCACTAGTCGTCTAAGATTAACCCTATCAAACCAGCCTCATCCCCGGTATAAAGTAGAAAAAGCTCGACTGCTCCATAGCCTGCAACCGTAATGCTCGACCTCCAGACCATCCATTAAGGTCCATGTCCTCGGAAATCTACAGTTGTATCATGTCATGCCTGATCATTTCTCCTCAATACTTCTTAGGACGTCCTCTACCTATTCTCGTACCCACCAAAGCCAAAGCCAACTGCTCATATCTCCTCACCGGAGCATAAAGGCTTCTCCTCCGCAAGTGCCCGAACCATCTGAGCCTCACTTCCCGTATTTTATCATCCACAGGGGCGACACCCACCTTCTCCCAAATATCTTCATTCCTAATCTTATCCATCCTAGTGTGCCCGCACATCCACCTCAACATCCTCATCCCTGCTACCTTTATCTTTTGGATATGAAAGTTCTTAACCGGCCAACACTCTGCCCCATACAACATGGCCGGTCTAACTATTACTCTATAAAACTTATCTTTGAGTATCGGTGGCATTTTCTTGTCATATAGGACTACAGATGCTAGCCTCCATTTTATCCATCCGCCCCCTATACAGTGAGTGACGTCCTCGTTGATCTCTCTGTCCCCTATATAACCGACCCAAGGTACTTGAAACTACCTCTCTTGGGGATGACCTGTGATCCAAGCCTCATGTCCATGCCTACTTCCCTCGACTCAGCGCAAAACTTGCACTCCAGGTACTCTGCCTTAGTCCTGCTCAACTTGAAACTCTTAGACTCGAGGGCCTGTCTCCAAACCTCCAACATTTCGTTAACACTGCCTCGCGTTTCATCAATCAGAACTATATAATCAACGAATAACATATACCAGATCCCCTAGTACAATATCCGGTCCCCATCCTCATTCAGAAGACCATGAAAGTACGTCTGCTATCTCTACTTAATCTGAGACTCCCCCATCAATAGTCTACCGTCCTCTTCTTTGATGCACCTCACTTGGTCCATATCCCGAGCTTTCCTCTCCTTCGCCTTAGCCAGCCGAAACAACTTCTTATCCCCACCTTCCCCCCCTCCCCAATTCCTCGTACTGACGACCAAACGCTGCATTCTTAGCCTCCGTGACCGCCAACTTCGCCTACTTCCTCGCTACCCTGTACCTCTCTCTATTCACTCTCCTCTCCTCCTCGCTTGTGCTCCCTACCAACTTCATATATGCTACCTTCTTCGCCTCCACTTTGTTTTGGACTACGTCATTCTACCACCAGTCACCTTGGTGCCTACCAGAGTAACCCTTCGATATCCCTAGTACCTCTGTCACCGCCTCCCTTACACAGTTCGCCGTCGTTGACCACATAACGCTCGCGTCCCCACTGCTCGTCTAGGCTCCCATAGCCGATAACCTCCCCTCCAACTCCTGGGCTTTATCCTTAGTTAAGGCTTCCCACCTAATCCTCGGTGGACCTCGAGCAAGGGCGGATTTACATGGACCCAAAAGGTGTCACAGGACACCGCTTCGTCGAAAAATTATGCTACATCTGTATATAAAAATAATAAGTAAAACAGAAATAAAAGATAAAATCATTAAAAGTGACACCACTTGCA